CATGTAAATGCCATCTTCTTTTAAAACAAAGAGACGACACACTTATAAGAAAAGCAAACATTTACTTAAAATTGCAGTATAGGCTTTTCAATCACAGAAAAAGAAAAGAAAAACAGTGATCCGACAGCGGTCACATCCTGTGCAAAAAAAAAAAACCAAACTTGGGATACAAAAAAACTGTAGCACAAGGTACTTGAGCCGCTTACACATTGCAGGATAAAGTAAATAAATACAGTAGCTAGAATATGGCACTCTTGTGACAGACTCTAAACCCAGTGGAATGCCTCTGAAATATTTTTATCCTTGTATTAGTAGCAAAGTCCCATCACCATAAAAGTAGAATAGTACAATGTTTTAAATAAAAACAAACTAAAATATTTATATCTAAGAGAAGGATTTTACACAGTTATATCTTTTAAGTGCAGAAAATGGGACTTGGGCTTAGATCTTTCTTTAAATTAACCCCTGCCCCCTCCCCCCCAACAATACCATTCAATCTTAAAAGTAAATTCATGTTTGAGGAAAAAATATTACCAAAGTTGCATAATTTCATTTGTTACTTCCACAGCTGGAAGTTAAATTCTAAACAGTCTTGAAACATGAAGTTCGTCATTAGCCAGTGAAACAAAGGACTTGTCAAAAGCCCTCAGAATTTCTTTTATCCTCCAGATAGTGTTTTGCTTTCTCCAACATCTTTAGACAGCAATCGCTAAGTTTTCAAACACAAGAATGCAATATGCATCATACATCAAGAAAAGACGAAGTTGATGAAGAAGAACTTCCACGTTTCTGGATCTTTTCCTTGCTTCTCTCAAACTTCTTTATTAGCTCAGTCACTATGCACACAGAGGAAGTGAGTCCCAGAAGAAACAGTAAATCTGGAAGAGATAATTAGCCTTCTTTAAAATTGCTATTTAAGGCTAAGGGGAGACTTAGAACGAGACTTACAAGACTTTCAAATTTTCTCCAAATCATTGCCAAAGTTCAGGAGAAATTAAGCAAGATTCAATCTTTTGCAGGCACAGAAGATTAACAAACATGGTTTATGCACAAATCGTAACTACACACAATATATTAAAAGCTTTTGAAGTATTTCATAAACATTTTCAGCAATATAATTAACTAAATTCTGAAAAATAATATTAATAACATCAAAAATTGTGCTACAATACATACAATATAATTAAATTCTGAAAAATATTATTAATAACATCAGAAATTGTGCTACAATAAATACATGTATTTCATTACAATCACTTAACTCCAGAAAACTACAGAAGTAATAAATCTAAGTCTTAATGAGGCCAACAGCATTATGTGTCTATATATTTTTAAAGTCCTCCTGTTTATTTACCCTATGACAATCCAATCAATATTAAAGATCAGGATTTTTAAATAAGGTGTTTATATTTAGAGAAAAAAAGTTGTGAACTAGTTAAATTAACAATGCTCAGAAACCTACAAATTCAATAATTTTGCCTGCAACAAAATTTATATTAAAAACTCCCAAATAAATAAACAACTTTATAAAAATTTAAGAACACACTGATCAATTATGTATCATATACATTTAAATAATGGTTCCCAAAGAAAACATCTAGAATGATTCAAAAAACTAAAAACCAAATCAATAAAACAAACAAAATCCCCCAAAAACCCTACCCACAAAACAAGAAGTATCATCAGGCTTATTTATTTCATTCCTTATTACATTCCTGTTGCATGCAAACACCAGAAAGTGCTCTTACAGAACCACCACCCACCACATTTATAAATTAATCCTTAATGCACAGTTTTGAAAAAGGAACTGTTCTTACCCAAGATACTCAGGCTCTCTGTTTGGAAAACCTTCTGAAGTGGAGGAAAGTAAATGACCAATAACTGCCCCATTATAGATCCAAGGACAGCATAGCAGAACATTTTGTTACTGCAAAGTCCAATCTCAAACACAGACTTTGTCTGTAAAAACAATAATATGTTACAAGGTACATGTAATCTTATTTATCTAGACAAGAAAATACTATTTCTTTTCATCCAAATTTTTAGAAAAATATAAAATATTACTCTTGACTTCTTAGACAATCCGGAACAAGTTCTTGAACAGGCTAATTGCATTTTCTCCCTGGTAAATAGATTACAAGTCTTGTCTTCATAGTCAACAACTTGTATATTGATCCCACTATCCCACAAGTACAGTTCATCAGAAAAAGGTTACCCTGACACTATGCCATAACAGATAAGACTGCAAATTACAGTAAATGTAGTAATGTACACTATCACAAAATTTCAGACTTGTTTCCTTAAAATGAAAAAATATACACAGATAAAAAGTACAGAACAGTTTCAGAAATTTCTCTCGGATTATGGGTTTAGGATTACAAAATATAAAAGCTAAGGCCTTCAAGAAATTTCACATTCTGGTAAGGCAGCTGAACTGACAGAATTTCCAGGAAGAGAAAAAACAATCACAGCAATACAAAGGACCATCTCACTTCACCTCTAATAACAACTTTCTTGCTTTTTTTAGGACGCCACCAGTTTAAACAAATTAAGTAATCGACTTTTTGTAATTTAAGAAATCCTACCTAGTAAATACATGAAAATCTGAGCTTAATACCAGATGTGAAGTAAATCTGCAGGAAAATACCTGAAACAAACACAGCAAGATCTTCCCTCAAAGAAAACTCTAATTATCGTGTTAATACTGTGTAAATGGACAATATGAATCACATACCTGAGATCTAGAACTCAAAGCATTGAACATATCAAAAAATACAAAACAGGTGAAAGTCATGGTTGTATCTCGTGGTGTTATAACATTGTCTCTTAACTGCCAACAAAATAAAATGAAATGGTTTTAGTATGCTTTAAACCCTCCACAATTAAAGTAAATTAAACAAAATTATTACAATAATTCTAAAATAAGTTTTACTAGTTAGGAAATAAAAGCAAAAGTAACTTGTTTATCCCAAGCTAATTTATTAAATCATATGGCAAATATTACACACTTGTAGTTTATAAAAATTTGTAATTCCAAGCTATGATTAAATGAAGACTCCTGACCAGTATTTATAAAAGCACATGTAATAGCAGGAATTCTATGATGCACTACCAAACGTTCCCACATTTTTCTCTACAGGGAAAACAAAATCTGGTTAGAAGATTTACATAATTACTTTCTATGGGCAAAGCTTCCAAAGTAGATTTGGAACCTGAAAGTCTATGTTAAAATAGAGACTGGGGAATAAAACTGTATTTCACTTTTCAACAACTGTTTTGAAAATCTTCCTCTCTATTCTAGTATTAAATAAGCATGGCCAAAACTCACTACTAAGTTCATATTAACTCTGAATTTCAACTGCTTGTACAAAAAGGATTTCTTTTAAATTAGGTTGTTACTGCTCTAAGTTTTGCACTTTTGTCATACCTCTCTCCAGAAGACGAACAGTGTTCCACAGACGATAATTATTGATGAAACCAGTATTTTAACAATCAGGTTTTTGGTCAGAATGCTGTCCTTCAGATTTCTTGGAGGTTTTTGAATAATATCTTTATCCACAGGTTCCACCCCAAGGCTTACAATTAAAAGAACATTTTGCATTTTTATCATCATAAAATTAATTCACTGCTTCTAACTTAAGAAATAGATTTTCTGAGTAGAAAAAAAAGAGGATTTAATGCTACTTCCTCACTAACTCTCACTCCACCATCTACTTGCAGTAGAGAGTCAGAGGAAAAACCCAGCGTGAAGCCAGAACCCTGCATGCAAGTTTCATGGGCATATCCATGAATCTTTAGGTATCCTTGCTGCCCCCATATAACTAGACACAAAAGCAAACTTAATAGAATTAACACAGAAACCTACTGCAAACATTGAAGTTCACAGAGAAATTTCACACAGAATCACTGGATTGGAAGAGACCTTCAAAATCATCAAGTCCAACCCATGCCCTGACACCTCAACTAAACCATGGCAGCAAGTGCCACATCTGATCTTTTCTTAAACACATCCAGGGATGGTGACTCCACCACCTCCCTGGGCAGACAATTCCAGTACTTTATCATTCTTTCCATAAAAAAAAAGGTTTTCCTAATATTCAACCCTTGATGCAGTTTAAGGCTGTGTCCTCTCGTGCTGTCAGTTGCTGTCTGGAGAAAGATACCAACCCTCACCTGACTACATCCACCTTTCAGGGAGTTGTAGAGAAAAGTTTGCTATTTCTGAAACATCTCACTGAAGTTTAACACTTCACAGTTTCCTTTATGAGCAACCATTTCCCTTGCTGAAATAAAAGGACTACAGAACCTAACAGAGTTAAGAGTAATTACTTACCTTTGAGCTGGAGGTCCATCCATAATAATATTGATCCACAAGATCTGCATGGCATTGAGAGGATTAGGAAAGTTCATTAATGTAGCCAGTGAGATTAAAGTCAGTGCTGCTATACTCCTGTTGAAAGAATCCATTTTTACAACTGTCAGCATTGAACATTTCTGAAGATCCACTGATAACTGCTTTGTAATCAACACTTCAATTGTTTAAGAGTAGATACATATTTTGACAGTGTGAGTCATGTCTGATGTTAAGTAGAACTTTAAAGGCAGAGCATGAAATCCTTTCAAATACTCATTCTGACACAACCAGTATTTAAAACAGCATTGTTCTGGCAATAAAAAGACAGCAAATTTGCATTTTAAAACCTCCCAAACTTTTAGGTAACATTTCAGAATTATCATCCACCATCACATAATTCATTTTTTTATGGGGAACTGAGTCCTATACTTCTTCTTGCACCATAAGTGGAATTTCGAAATATGGTATTGAAAAATAAACTGCTTTTCCACTCCTGATGTAAACAAACTCACTCTGCACCTGTCCCTGGTTTGCCTCGTCAGTCAAGGCAAGGTACTACTCAAGCTCCCTTAAAATACCTACAACCACTCATTACTAGCAAGATGAGAAGGCCAGGCCCAAGGCTGAAAAAAGATTAGCTGGCTGCAAGCTTGGCATTAGAAACCTCCGTAAACAAGTATGCACTAACTGCTCTCAGTGCAAGATTAAGAGGTTTCATAACCAAGAAGAAGAAAGTAAGGCTTACAATAATTCCAAATTTAGCACTGTACTAAACCCTGTTATGCTCTCCCTGCAAAGAGGGACAGGAAAAAACAAAGGGATTAATCAGAAATAGGTAAGCACGCTTTCTTACAACATCTGTGATTAGTTATTTTTCAGCAGCAGATTCCTAGTCCAGTCTTGGTAAGACTAGACAGGACACTTGGTAAGACTGAAAGTATATGTCACCTCTTAAGAGTATTTATGCAGGTAAACAAATTGATCTTTTCTGGGTTTTGATCTGAATTTTGTGTTGTTCTGGAGGGGTTTTTTTGAGGTAGTATTCGTTGTTTCTGGGTTGGGTTTTTTTGTGGGGCTTTTTTGGGTTTGTTTTATTTGAAGTTTTAGATTTGGTTGTTTTTGGTTTTTTTTTAACTTCTGACCACTCTGAAATGTCATGAAAGCTTCAAAAAAGTACATGAGTGACATGATGAAGAGAAAAAACATGTCCCTGAGTTCAGATCAAATAAGATAAACTCACAAAAAATTTGAAACTAAGGCTTAATAAACTCTTGTCCTACATACAAATTATGTAGCTAGCACATGAAGCCTTCTGTGCAAGAAAACGAAATCAGCTTCATATAGTTAGCTCATTTCACAAGCCAGTACATGGATTTCAGAAAAACTAACCCCCTGATTCCCTGTTTTCCTCCCTTTGAATACATGTACTGGTTAAGGAGGGACTGACTACCAGCTTCTCATTTAAACAGGGACTCAAAGGCAGCTCTGCTGTTTCTCATTATCCCTTCAGTAACTGACTTTACACATCTCAACAGGAAGATCTGTGACAAACTTACATGTCACTGTTTATTGCACTATCTTCTGTGCCTTTAAAAATAAAACAAGCCACCAAACACAAAATAGTGAAAATTCAAAAGCACCATGTATCAGCATTCTACTTGAAATTTACATTATTAACATGAATTTATGCCTCTGCTTCATGCTTTGATTCATTCACAAGAAATTTCTGATACTGACAGCTTTTTAAACTTACGTGCTCAGTTGAAATCTAACAAAATTTTTTATATTATTATAAATTCCTTTACCCTCTTCAATTGCAGACCTGCAATTAAAAACAAAGATTACATTACAAGACAAGTGAATCTACTGCCAAGAAAAGCTTAAAAAACCTAAAAAAAGTATTAATTTAAATAGCAATAAAACCAGCAAGAAACAAATGGAGTTGAGGTTCTTTTAACTTTGGCAGTCATTGTTTTTCAACTTGACTATAAGAACTCAAACTATTCTTTGATTGTGAATAATCACAAGTTATTTTTTACGCATGTTTAACTTTGAAAATATAATTATTAGAGTAAGATTTCCTATATGTTCAAAATTCACCACCATCTTTGATCTAAATCAAGTCAGATAATTAAAGAAAAACAAAAGACAAAACCCAAAAACCCAACATGTCCCCACCACACACACAGGTTTAAAAAACCCCAGAAATACAGCATGGCTTTATAGGGCCATGTATTCTTCCTGTACCAGAATGAAATATGTACAGACCATCTTCACAACCCCTAGCATGTCACAACTTGCCTATCAAACTATCACAATTACTGCAGTGAGAAAGGATTTTCTGGTACCGAAATCAAGCCTGCTTTTCTGCAAATAAAACTGATTTTTTTTTTCTTACACTCCCCCAATACTTAAACAGCATTCCTTCAGTAGCTTAAAAATAATTAAAAGGGTGGGGAAAATACGTAAAACTATGGAAGTTCATACTTCTTTTTTTTTCCTTAGCACTCACCACACTTCTCTCTCTCCTATTGAGAACTCTCCTGATGAAGTGAGCAAAACTGGGTAACACAGTCCAGCAAAAACCTCACCAAGTCCATGTAAGGTTCTTACTACAGATGTCCTTCCTACGTACTCTTCTGCCTATGTTAAAATTATTCCCTCCTCTGTTATGTTTTTGCATAACAGCACATTTCTGTTGGCTGAATTAATGTGACAACCTTAGATCATCTTCTGACATACTGCTACATAGGTAGATTTTCTTATACTGTACTTCTTCATTTCACTTCTTTCCAAGGGTTAAATGTCATACTTTGGGAAGTGAAGTGTTCTGGGATTGATGCATAATTTCAAAATGAAGGCTATTTCGCCAGACAGCAGTTCAGCTCTGTCAACAATCACTACCTTCAAAAGTCAGATGAATTACAGTCAAAAGAGGAAAAGTTTAGCTAAGCTCTTTTGGAAATACACCAACCAAAAATGCACAAGTACAAACAGCTGGTTACCAGACACTAATAACCTATTTTCACCTGTGATATCTAAATAATCAATATTTTTTCCTTTTCTGAAATTATCACATTTAAGAGTTGAAAACAAACGGAGATCTACATAATCTTTAGTAGAATGCTGTTATTTTTTCCTTAGTTTTATGCTTCTGAAGTACAAAATTGAATGAAATTTACTAACCACTAACAGACTCACAATTTCACCTCAGTTATGTTTCCAAACATGCTAATACTCCTGACTGAGCAGAAAACTCATTTACAGCAGCTACAAGCTCATTTACAAGTCCAGGAAAACTTCTATTTGTTTAACCCAGGCAACATCTTATTAAAGCGATATAAAAGTATATAAAACTATATATAAACTATATTAAAGTACAAGATATGTACATAAAGGCCACCTACATTATTGTCTGAAAATCATCATCCACGAGGATCATATCTGCTGCCTCTTTACAGACATCTGTTCCAGTTTGTCCCATGGCTACACCAATATCTGCAGCCTTCAAAGCAACAGCATCATTCACTCCATCTCCTGTCATAGCTACCACAGCACCATTATTTTGCAGGGACTAAAGAGAGGGAAAAGAACTTAAATCAGGATTGAAATAACCCATCCTATAAAATTATTCTAGATACAAGATTTGTGTCACTGCTCCCCCTCTCCCATTTCTTATAGTTGAACTGTAATGTCCTACAGAAAAAAAACAGCTGCTTCTGTTCTACAAGATTTTGGGTTAAACTTCCTTTCGTATATTCAGACAGCATAAATTTTAAAGCTAGGGTATATAAAATTTTCCTTTACAGGAAAGAAAAAAACTCTAGAGAAAGATAGAAGATATTGTATTTCCATATTACCAATATCACCTTCTTATAAGTCTTGCATGCATCCCTATGGTCTCAGTGTTTTGACTTCTTCTTATTGTTACTTTTCTGATTTTTCCAACTGTTACACCGAGTCCCTCCTTCTTTGCTACCTTCTTTTGTTAACTTCTGAATAGAGGCATTGCCACAGACATGGCTTGAAATTCATTCCCTTTTATCTCATCTGACAAGTATCAGAAATATGGTTCTTTCAAGCTCCTAGTCAATTCAACTGCAACATGACACAAAATCTGAATCAATGCCCAGCTCCCTACTTCGAAGAAAGCACAATGTTAGCCACCTATTCCTTGTGGGCACTATGCATTTTTCTAGGTAATATTTTCAAGTACACTTCACTGCCAAATCAGATGCATATCTGATTTCATCTTGACACACTGTAGCACTATAGTTTAGTGTATAGTATAGTTAGTGTAGCATTATAGTTTAAAGGCAGCATAGGCAATACCCACAGCAACAGTCCAGCATTTGAGCCTTTGTAAGACGTACCTTTATAATTTTTAATTTATGTCGGGGACTGGCTCTGTAGAATACTGCAACCTATCAAAAGAGTAACAAAGTAGTGGTGAAAATTTCAGATATGTAAAGAATTGCATTGGATTCTCTTAAGGTAGAGGGTAAAAAATACAATCAAAGGCCAACAGTATCCTTGTTAGCTCTTAAGCTGAAGCACCAGTGAGCTTTGTTTTTCATTGAATGAAATCACTAATTTTAGAGAAGATTCAAAATGTGTTATTGTAAACAAAGTTAGTGCTACTTATTTCAAGATGGAATGTACAATTTAAAAGCCTTCTAAAATAATGAAGCAGCTGAGATATAATGGCTTGCTGCTGGCCTTCCTGACTAAATTCATGCAGGCAATTGTGGTGCTGACTCTACAATCAACATCCTTTTTCCTTGTCAGCACAAGTGACAAGCTACTCTGGATATTTCAGTTTTACTACTTTATAGCATATTATTAACAATTGAACTTGTAAAGAGAATTAAAAATTCTAACTTGGAAGGACCAATTTTCAGATTTTTCTTGGTCTCTGGACTTCTCTGTGAATTGAAATTTGAGCATGTGGAATTTAGTTTTCCATAATCTCCATACAGTTAGCATTTTTCCTTTTCAAGATGCCTGACAAAGAGCTAGATTTCCCACCAATCAGTTTAGACTCTATACAGCTATCAATCTTATTGGTTGATTTTAATTCCTAGTAAGATTTTAAGCAAACACCTAGAAAAGCAATTGAGTCAAAGGTCAAACACATGTAAATAAATTTGTACCTATTTCAGTTATTTAATGTGGACAGCCCTTAAGAACACATATTACCACATAAACCAAAAATTACTATTTGCTACACAATTCTTGCTTTTCCCAGTTTCTGTGAGTCACTAAGAAAAGACAGAAAGCTGACATGCACATTTCTTGATTGCAAGTATTGGCTTTTGGCTTGCTTACACCAGACTCAAACATGCTGCAGTCTAATTTTTCAGTCCTTTGCAAACAGAGCAGCATTTTGATGCAAGAATTTTGCAACATAGCTAAACCTGAACCTTTGTTGCATTTGATTATGTCTTGACATTCATAACCTGGACACTGGTTAATCCATTTAGTTATTTAATAACTAAAAAGTATTATGCAGTAACTTAGTACATAGACCCTTTCAAAGTTCCCAACTAGTGACCTCAGATCAATCAAAATCATTAAAAACATAGACATGTCTTACAAATTACAAAATAATGGACTGTCTGAACATGAAGACTCTAAGATTATATAAAAGAACTGAGCTGCTCAGAAATAAAATGGCTTACTAATACAAAAAGGTTATGTTCACTAAGAGGTGACAAAATGAAAGTTAAAGATAAAAAAAACCTGAATCATTAAAAGAGACGGAAGTAATTTATTCTTTATATTTATCTTTGTATATCTAAAAAGATAACAGTGTAAGTCGAAATAAATAGATTTTCATATTGGTCATATGTCAGACCAAAAGATACTTATTAGAACAATATTATTTGTCACTCTGAAATTACATTTTAGCTTGTCACAGGAAAAAAAGCATTTCTCAATACGTAAATGTATCCTTTGCCACATTCAGTAAGTAGTACATCAAAACAAACCTTTGGTGTTATTTGAGAAAGCTGCTGAATATCCAAATCATCTATCTCTTCTCCAGAAATTGCCTGTGAATTTTTGGAATACAATCCTAGTCGACTAGCTGTAAAAAAATCATTAAAAAACTTATTATAATAATTTAACGTTTTAAGACATTAAGTATCTTTTTTTTTTTTTTTTTTTTCTAATCCTAATATTTTCTGCAGCATTTCAGATTTTAAATACCCGGAGCAGCGGAGCAGAACATCTTCCTACATTATTGATTCAGTATGTTGGAGTAAATTAGATGAACTCTTGAGTAACAACAACATGCTACAAAGTCTATCCTAAATCAGATATTTGCTTAGTCTTTTTAGGTGTAAAGGTCTGTAGTTGATTCTGTCAGGTGTCATATAAACAAAAAGAGGAGTGCAGTCCTCTCAAAAAATTTACAGTTCAGAAATAACCCAACAGAAAATCAAAAATAACATGAGGGAGACAAGGGAAAGAAAAAATCTCTGATAAAATATTCTGAGTTTGGGGGTATACTCTTCTTGTGCACACTCAACTGTTCATCATCCTGCTTGTAAAGAATTCTTATTCTGGCTAAAGTGCTTGTTCTTTAATGCATTGTATATTCATTGTAAAAAGAAGTTAAATAGTTTGTTTATATATTTATTAATAATATTTAAGTTTCAAACTTAGTTATATGGACAAAACTGTACTATACAGCACTGAAGTGCCATACATCATTATTCCTTGTCACTGGCTCTTTTAGTCCATCCCTGCTGTCAGAGACAGGCACCTAAAGCTGAGGGTAGGCAGGATGGTGGTGGTGATGTGACAGTAAGAACCAGAGACAAGCATACGGAATAAGTAAACAACATGAAAAATACAGTTTCAAGCAGACAAAGTCACTGGAAAAGCTGCTATTCAAGCTGAAACCAAAGTATCACTTCAGGCTAGGGTCATGGGTTTTTTGGGTCTTCTTCACTGCTAATTCCGCTGTGCTAGAAATTAATCCAAAATACAGAATTGACAAATGTTAAAGACTTAATATACACACTTCCTAACAATTAGCTAAGCAGAAAACAAGAAAATTGGAAAGGAAGTGAACTATTCATACCAATGGCAACTGCGGTTTCCTGTGAATCTCCAGTAACCATTTTTATTGCAACTCCTGAGGTGATGAGTGTAGTAACAGCTTCTTTTACACCAGTCCGCGGGGGATCAATTATTCCCACAAGGCCCAAAAAAGTCAGCTGTCCTAACTCAGGACCAGAAGCTAAGGCCAGAACTTTAAGAAAAAGAAATAAAAATGTTAAGATTTGAAATTAATGTTTACGTCAGCATTTAAAACAACTGTTTCTAACTAACAGGCCAGCATAAAGCAAAGGGCTGGAATTGGTATTTTCTTTTTTTTTAAACCTTGGTAGTAGCAATGCTGAGCATTCACAATAGCCTACTTATGTACACTCTTGTCTTCTAAAGAACTCCTTACAAAACAGCCAAGCTTGAAAGATAACTTTCCTATTTATTCTCATCTGAAAGTGTTTATATTTTGACTTTGTGGAAAGAGAACCACATCAAGCTTTGTGATTTCTCTGTGCGTTTTTCTTTTATGCATTAGGATGAAAGGGAAGATCAGTTAACATATTTATTTTCTACTTTAGTTTTTTGGGTTTTTTTTTTTTTAACCTTTTGAGAGGCAGATTTCATTGAGTACATGCTGAGTATTTTCTGGAATGTCTTTCCAAATAGGAGTCTTAATTCAAATATATTTAAATGCCACTAGAGTTGTAAGGAAAAAGCAAGTTTGCTCTTTTCAAAACATTATCCTTGATGTTTTTGACAGACAGAACAAATGACTGTTCAAATAAAACAGCAAAAAATACCACTCCCAGCATATCCTCTCAGCTTCTAATAATTTTCATCTTAGTAATTTCCTGAGCCACAGAGTACCCCTCTCTTTAAAAATAAAAAATTGCTAAAAATTAAAGAGCTGTGCATGGACTTCACAGCCTAGAGATGTCTTTACAGAGGCCAAAGAAAGCCAGTCATGTATAATCCTGGCCCATAATCAATTCCTGTCAATCATCTTGTGAAAAACATTTTGTTTTATCTAAAATTCTACACAGCTTGTTAACACAGAAGATAATTCTAATGGCATCTCCTGACCTGCAATCAGTTGTACTAGCTTAACTGATGAAGGTGACAGGAGCCAAAGTAATGGACAAATAAACACATTCACATTAAAAAAACCCCACAGGCATCTATAATAAGGTAAGGAAGCCATTAAGTAGCAATGTACTGCTCAGTTATGGTCACATGCAAGAGATGACAGAAAGCAAGAGCACTCTTTCTCACCATCTGCAGTTTAATCATGGCATTATACAGGCCTAAAAACTAAACACAGCTACACTTATTGAACAAAAAAACCCCAACCAACCAAACAAAAAAGATCCCAGTGTTTTGGGTTGCTCTTGCTTGTTGTTGTTGGTTTAGGTCTTTTTTTTTAAACAATAAAGCAGTGCCATTTAAATGAAATTGATATTTTGAGAGACTTTTGAAAGAGCCTTACCTCTAAGCCCTGCGGAACCCATAGACACCTTCTCTTGCTGGTATTGCTCTCTCTGCTGTTGCACCAGGGGTAGGCTCTGTCCCTTACAGTAATACGATGTACAGTATCTAATGACTTGTTCATAAGCACCTTTCATAAAGCAAACCTCAGGTTTGTCCTAGAAGAAAAAAGAGCTGCTGTGTGCACATGTGTGCATGCATAACTACACGTACACAAGTGCACACACACGGACACATAAGAATGACATGTGTGTGCTTTTGTTAACAATCTTAAGATCAAACTTCCACTTCTAAACATAAAAAATCGTTCTTTTGAGTGTCTCTAGACAGCGTACACTCAAGAGTGGTAAAGTCAAAAGAGCCAAGCTAATAATCAAGATCTCATTTTAGCAGACATCAGACACAGGCACTGCAAGTCACAGTTTACAGACTAAGAGGCCATGCAAAGGACAGAAATTCAACCTACACAGGACATTAGACCTGAAAGACCTTAAGCTCCTCATCAGATCAGCTGCACAGGTCATTGAACATCCCTTCCATTCTTGTACAAGGCCTAATAACTCTAATATTTTCCAGACAGCCATCTAGCCTTGATATGATGATATCATGGGACTGAGAGTCTACCAGCTACCTCAAACACTTAACTCCAATGCTAAATCAACTCATTCCTTCTCCTTTCCCCCCTTTCCATTAAGAACTGCTGCCTCAGCTAAATTTCTAATCACTGATCACTCATCTTCTCTCCAGCTGAACTAAAAAGATCTTTAATATACCTATTTTCTTCCTGTGAAGTTATTCATATGCACAGCAGTCAAGTTACCTCCATCTTTAATGACAGGCTTAAGAGAGCTCCAAGTTTCTAAGTCCACTGTATTTTCTCAGTCTTCAAATAATTTATGTTCTCTTTCAATCTGTTATCAATTTTCCAACATTCTTTTAAAATTGATGATTCCAAAACACAGGCACAGTAAGTCTTTATATGGATAAAATCTTATATCAATTTCTGCCCTTCACAAAGACATGAATAATCAACAATATAGCCCACATAGCTAAAATGAGTCAAATACTTTCTTTCCAAAGCAGATTTTACAGTGATACTGGAACACTGCCAGCAAGCCTGGTTTTGATCTGAAGTACTGTAAGATTTTTTTCATAAATCCAATATAAGGTGTGTTGTTGCACATATTGTCTAGAAGGTTCCAGTTATGAGAGTGGCAGTGATTATGTCAATACTTGTAACAAAAACATTTATATGGATCTATATGAAACATGAATGCACATATGTATGTGAAAGTATGAGAAGACAGAAAAAGAGATTAAAGAGTGGGTTTTATTGATAATCCATGCCTCTGTTGACATAAATAAAATTTGTCAACACTGGGGATGTGATGTCTGCATCAAACCAGAAACCCTGTGTTTTCATCAATGCATATTCTTGTTCTTAATTCATTATGTAACTATGCAGCACTGGAACAGCAGAATATTGGCAGAATTGCTTTGGATGCTTGAGAAGGAAGAAGAAGAAAGGAGAAATAGCTAAGTATACATTCAAGGTCTCAGTTTTGAAAAAACTTAAAATAATTTCCCAGGATGTCTTTTATGGAAATTATTTCTTGTGATTCCTTTTCTTTTCTTCAGAGCTTGAAGCTAAAGCTGTGTCTATTATCAAGCCATATTTCTAGGACTTTGCACTACTGCCAGCCTTCCAAAAATTCTGAAGTGAAAAATGAAGATATTAAACAAGGTAGGTAACCATCCTACAGAGCCAGTGCTTATGGAAACAGTGATTGAAGTTTACCTGCTGTGTTCTGTGAATGCATTTAACAGCCATCCATTTTTGTTCTGAGCTGAAGGGATATTCAGCCTTCCTTATGTAGTCTTCCTGGACTCCATCTAAACCCATCTGTATAAAACAGAAGTACCACCACAACGTCACAGCCTTTTCTTTTCAAATAAGTATGAAATTTCATGACTTGTTGAAACACCTTAGTTAGCAAACATCACTTAATTAAAGAACAATCTCATCTCCAAAGCTGCCTTTTGAGCTCACTGTTCCAATTTAGGTAGACTTCTTGACAAACTAGCATGGAAAACACATTGAAACTTCTTTCAGGCTTCAGTATGAGCCTTGCTACATTTCTCAGTAGCTGTAATGGGCATGTCACAGCATTATACAAAAAACCAACAACAGCTCCCCTCCCTCCCCAAAATAAAAAAACCCAAACACTTCAGCACAGTGTCCACAATTCAAAAGCCCTGCACTTTAGAGGCACTATAAATTCTGCATTCGCCAATACATCAGTTACCAACTTCCCTCTGCTACTGATGTGAAACTGGGAAAGAGGCAGTACAGTCAATATTCATCAGGTGAATCAGTTTGTGGCAGGTAAAAAGACAGTACTAAGTGCAAAAAGATGAAAACAGAGATTTTATTTCACTCGTAAATTTTTTTTCTGATCTTTCAGAATGACCAAGATTTACAAGAAACAAACAAAGGAGATGAGCAGTTGCAATACAAATCTAGGAGATCCAAAAGAGAAGAAAATGAGAAAAACAAAGCCACAACTTATTTCTACACATTTCCCACCTGCCATGAATCCAAAAAACACCATCAAGTACACACCTTCATAGCAAGTGCAATTAAAGCACCTTCTGTTGGCTTCCCCATCAATGTGTTGTTTCTAATCAAGGCATCATTGCACACACAACCAGCCTAAAAGAGAAGAAAAGAGGAGAAAACAGAAGACAAAGTAAATACCATAAAAAGCTCTTGTGCTACATCATCAGCTAAAACTCACCTTTTTTTTTGCCAAGATCTTACCTCCACAATTTTGCTAATGGATGGGTTGTTATAACCATGAATGACTTCACCATCGAGCATCACTTCTCCAAACCTGTTATAACCTACTCCAGTAACCTGCAAGACAAGCAGCCAGAGGCAGCATGCAATGTAGTGTTCACCAGGTTAACTGCTCTCAGCTCTTTATTATAAACTACAGAAGAATTTCAAAAGGCCATTTATAATGCTGCTTTTTACTCAGTGTGCATGAATTCTTCTTACTTAGCTTCTAATGCAGCAACACTCTGAATTCAATAAAATATATTAGAGACTAATTTCTTTAAACAGTTATCAATTTTATTCCTCAGCATAAATACATGTAGTCTGTATTGTTTTCTTACAGAATTAGGCATGCTTTCTTTTTTCTTCTTTCCTTTGTTTTCTAACTTTTTCCTCCTATTTTTCTTTACTCTGATTAATAATGCATCCCCCCTGCAGGGGAATGGAATTACAGAGTCCTACTTCCATTGAGTTATTAAAAAAAAAAAAAAAGAAACAGTTGAATAGCCTTTCAGTTACACCTCAGAAAGGTGTTAAAACCAGTAAAATTGTATTTTTAGTGCATAAAAGCCAGGCATCCACTAGGATCCTAAAAAAAATATCTTCATATCCACAGCATTAACAGCTAATATATTTCACAGCCATTTTAAGTTCTCATTCCATTAGGAAAAAGGAGCTGATTTGACCCAGATGCAACTGTGCTACTAGCAGTATTCATATAGACTTATAGCAATAAAAAAACAAGTATCAGGATATATAAGAAAATATAGGCAAATAACAGGAAACAATGTGAAAAAATGCCAGTATATTTTCTTGCAGAATAAAATGACAAGACTGTCTATTAACTCTACTGTGGAAACAAAACCTTGATCAAGGAGTTTGAGAATTTAAGAACTCGATTAAAACATTCCTATGAATCCATGTGCAGTTCCACACCTCACTGCTTTTCCTTTCCTACTGCTTTTGCTTCTCTTTTGTGGATTTACATCATCGGTCTTTCCAGCAACTCCCGAATCTCAACAACCACTGTTTCATGTCCTGCTCCTACATGCAAGTCCACCCATTATAAAAAAGCAAGAATTACAGTGCATATTCAGTATGAATAGTTCCCACAATAAATAGTCTTTTAGACAAAAAGTTGGATATCTCCACTTTAAATGTTTGGAACATGTAAATTTTAGGAGGTTTTTTTCGTACCTGAAACAGCAAAATAATCTCAACTTTCAGTACTGAAGAAAAACACAATCTTTCAACTTGTCTGTGTATCTTAGGATCTGTCTCTTATTGTGTGTGACCTACAGTCACCAAAAGTTTTAAGAACTTAACATATATTAAAAAACACTTCTGTAACCAGAGAAGGCTTGGATAGCACAGCTCAAAGGCTGCATACTAAATGAACTGAGGGACAGGAGCTTAGTGCAATAAATTTATGCTTTCTTAACTGATGCTTTACCTGTAGTATAGTCCAGCATGTTTCAGCTGATACACACAACAAAATAAAATGGCAAATTCAGTAAGGGTCACACCACATACCTCAGCATGCTGCCCATCAGAAGTAAAAATATGGGTAACAGTCATTTCATTCTTTGTCAGAGTTCCAGTTTTATCTGAACAAATGACATTGCAACAACCTGAAATAACAAATTAACATTTTAAGACAGTCCTTATTTAAACCGATCTGAGCTGCATGCAAGCTGAGCAAATTTCTAGAAATACTGCAGGTGTCTGTGAATAAAAACAAGTGAGAGAAAGTTTTTAACTGCACAAGGTTCTCTGAGAGTTTGTCCAATAAATAAAAAACCCTCCAAACAAATTTAAATCCTAAATTCAAAAATTATACAAAATATGTCCACTCAGTACCTCTCCTTCATTTTATTCTGCTGTACCTCAAGCTACATTACTGAAATCTCAATTGTGATTCCTGCTGAGGAGAAAAACTAAGAGCCTGCTTTACAGAAGTCATTCTCCTTTATTAAAAAGTACAACACGTGTTTAACACTAGACACAATATTTGTGTCACACAAATGGCACACTAGTTAAGTCACAAGTGTGACTTACTAATAAACCTGCAAATTTTAATAAGCTTGAAGAGATTACAAAGATGTGAGATTTGCATATGCCTTTTTAACTCTGAAATGGAGATTCTGAGAGACTTGCAGCATCCTGACATTTCTGGACATAACAGCAGGAGCTGTATAAGGAACAAAAAACCTTGCAACACTAATGAAACTCTGCTAGAGGCATTGGAAAAAAATTTCCCAATCTCAAATTGCAAAAAGGAATTCAGATGCAGCAGAATTATTTATCTTAGTATTTTCATTTCTTTTTCATGTTCTGTGCTTTACACGTTTTATGCTCAACTTGCATACAGAATTTCTTTAAATGTTCAAGTTTTTAAATGATTTTACATTTTAATAAGAGCAGCAAACCATCCTGAAGGTGCATTATGATTACAAAGCTTTTTCTAATATTCAAATATGTGTTTTTCAACTTTCAATATCACTCCTAAATTTACACCAAAAAGTTTTAATTTAAAATATTTTACAAGTCTTACTTAACAAGAACATCTTACAGCAAACAATCAGTTTAGTGCATTGCTAGCATGGCATGCTATTAACTGGCAGATTTTTTATTTCTTCAAAAAAAAGTAGTTAGAAGGCTCACAGAAACATCTCCCTGAATTGCTCCAGTGTAACACACATTCAATTCAGGAATATTTTAAAGATGCCAACACACTGCTAGCAAACTAATTTTTTCCTTGTTAGTCATCAATATTTCCTAACATTTACATCAAAAACACTATCTCTAAGTTAGTCTAGTCATACCTAAAGTTTCAACAATAGGCAGCTTTTTTACAATAGCTCGTTTCTTCACCATTCTCATCACACCAAGAGCCAGTGTCACCGTTACCACAATTGGGAGTCCTTCAGGGATTGCAGCTACAGCCAAACTGTAATGAAAGTAAATACACAGATCTGTTTTTGAATGTCATAAAGGAAAACACAGTAATGATGAATTTATAATTCAGAACATTGTTTCTGTAGCTGACTGGTCACTGAGATTAAAACAGAAAGGAAGGAGCTGTCATGTGATTCTAGTTGAATAGCAATCATTATAAGAAACCTGCTGAAGACAGCAACAAATGAAATAAATTAGATCATTTCTACTCATTATTTATGCAAAAGTATGAAGAAATGTAGGGGAGAGGGAGAAATGAATTGTACATCTGTTTTGCCTACACAAAACACTAATTAGGGCTGCGCAAAGCAACCCAGATTGTGAAGAATAAGTGTAGTCAGCACTAAACAGAACTGGGAAATGCCACCCCTGATCCACAATTGCTACTGCCAGATCATGATGCAGCAGCAAATTAAGTGCAGAAACGGCCTTGAAGGTCATTTAAAACCAAACAAATAAAAATCTTGATGACAGTGTAAATGCTCAAAGATGCAGTTCCTGGGTTTCTTTTCTCTCCTCCACAAATGCCTAATTCTTCAGAGTCTGATCATGTCACTTAAAGAAACCCTTCTGCCTTATGCACAGCCCACGTAATCAGCAACCCAACAACTTTTCTAGGAGTACAGAGTTAGACCATCTAAATTCAGTGCTGTTCTCAGCAAATACACTGAGATTAAGTTTGCATAATATAGTAGAAGTTGAGTTATTGAACTACATGACAAAGCTTGCAATAACTTTGCCATATGCCTTGTAAAATTAGAGCTACTTTATTTACTCAGCAGCAAAAATTCAAACTGTACAACTCTATTGCCTATTTGCAGATGTTCCACAAGACACTCAGAAATCACCATAGGAATGTAAAGTTTGAGAGACTGACATAAACACACTGCATCATTAAAAATATGTATGAATTTGCTTTTCTATTTTCATTTTGAATTACTTACATGAAGTTAAGAGCAGTGTATGTAAGCATATTTATAAAAGAGAACACCAGCTTTAAAATACTTGCTGTAACGCATGATCTACATTATTTCAAAACATAAATCTTACCTCACACCAATTGTGAACATATCAAGGATATGCTTTCCTTGCAACCAGCCAACTAACATAATAACTCCTATAAAGAAAACAGTCAAGGGGATAAATGTAAAACCAGCATGTACTTTGGCCTCATGGGGATAAGAAAAAATTCAAATAACCAGAACAAAGCTTACTATTGCACTACCTATAAAAAAATTATTATTTATTTCACTGCCATGATTCCATTAGTATGGCAAAGATGAAGAAAGTATCAGCCAGTCAAGTTGCCCAATCATATCTTTAAGTGAGGTACTCACTTATGTACACCTTGAATCAGAATCCAAGACACACTGCAATTTAAAAGGAAATACTTGGAGTACAAAAAGTCCGTAAAGTACATTTGCAGAAAGAAGCAAGTAAGCACCCTTATGATTAGAGTTACGTCACATTATAATTTTCAGATGACTAGTGACATAATGTCAAAGTGACCAATGAAATCAGGAGCCAAAAGATTTTTATAGATTTAGTCTTCCATTTCCCAGGCCCCAACACTAGTTTCCATTAGATAATTTTTGCAATTATTTTACATAAATTATCTTACCTATTATGCCAAAGGAATACAAGGAAAGCTGTTTTCCCAAGAGATCCATGCTTTTCTGCAGAGGTGTCTTTGGAGCCTTGATGAATGGCAAACAAGCAGCAGTTAACAAATTAACTGCACCACATTTTACTTCACAGATACAAAATTCAAGACAGACAGTGAATAAGATGCAGCTACACCCTATGTTTCCATACATTTACTTTAGAAAAAAAGACTGTTCTTTCACAGAATTCAATACTTCCGTGAAATCAAATATTTATTACAAATATTGTTCTAGGGCTTTGTGATATCTGCAACAAATCTAATATAAAAGGTCTTCTAAAAAATTTCATTAAAAAAACAAAACATCATGCCAACTACAAGCTACTGCACTTCCTCCAAGACCGAATAAGTTATTGGTAGCAAGAATAAAACTGATTTTCAAAATACAAGCATTAGAGCCCTGAAAGGTCAGTTATAAATCAAGAAGGAATGTTTTTAGTCATCTACAGAAAATTCAATTTTAGCCAAACAAAAAAAATTATGTAAATATTTAGACAGGTGCAGAGTATTATTTTCACAGTTAGTATCTCTAGGTCAGCTACGGATATTTTGTTGCACTACATTCAATTACTACTTTCATGTCCAAGAGCTAAGAGATTTGCTTCACTAGAGGAAAGGGAAATAGTGAAAGCAATGCATGTTTAATTAAGTTCC